GTGGTGCTGTCACCTTCCCTGACGGCATCAAATGCCAGCACATCCAATGACAAATCAGGTCACACCTACACTTGCACATACATACAAGAATGGTATGTTATCGATATAGGAATTGAAAAATACATATATATTGTTGTTTGATGAGTGTTATGTTTCTTATGGTTGTTTGTATTCTGTATTCCCCTACACTATATCCATCCCACCTACATTATTCATGTTATTATTTCTGTATACCTTTTTTTACTCCCCCTCTCCCCATGGTGATTGATGTCTGTTATTGTTACGCTTGTTGTTTCTATAACCCCCCCTGTTTTTCTTTTATTTTTTTCCTTTTTCCACGGTACTGGTGAGTTCGGAGCGGCCACACTCTGTAATGCAAAATAAAGTTGTCCTCCGAAGAGGGCAATAAAAAAAAAAAAAAATAATAAAAAAGTACAAAAAGTAATGTGTTCTATTATACATCGCAATAATAAAATTTAATTAGTGTTTAATAGTAATTTACTCCTTGTAAATATCTCAGCACGACTGCAGCCTTATTACAATGGCTACTACTGTACTTAATATTATTCTGCTTTGACTGCCAATGCAATAGGAAGGTTTTTTTCAACTAAAAAACAATTACTGACAAATTTACAAAAGTTTGTAAAGTTTTTACAAACAAAACCACAACTGAATTTTTTTTTTTTTTTTTTTAGTTCCATTTTATACTGTGCTGAGTATCGAAAATGGTAGAATTCCAATACTTGTCTTGGTATCGTAGTAAAATTTTGGTATGGTGGTTTATTTACAGTATAGAAAAAAGAATGACAGTAATGAAATCTTGTGGAACCTCTAACTATTCACAAAAACCACCATCTCTGGACTGGCAGTTCATTTGTCCTTTTTCTGCAGATGCCATTCCCTGAAACAAATCCGGTTTGCGATTATGCAGAGTGGCACGTCACAAGACACGCATTTGTAAATCGTCTTGTTTTTCAGTTTTTTCGACGTGCAGAGCACGCAGTATTTCCTGCCCTGTGTGGCCTTGAGCCTCGGGTCAACAGAAGAGGTGTCTATGACGGCCACTGGGAAGCACATCATCTGCTCTTTCTGCGGCTCTTTAGATGGCTGCGGCGCCACATGTGGCAAAACACGTGGTACTGCATTTGCCCTTGCACATGCCGCCATCTGTGTAACCAAAACCTCCCTAAAACGTTTCTGCGTGAAAGGTTTCCGTTTCTTCGCTAAGGTGATGTTCTTGTGGATGATGAAGCTATTCACTAAAGCAATATCCACAAAGTGGAAGAAGAACTTCTTGTACCACTTCATGGTCTTCTTGGCAACAGTATAGTGCTTTATGAAGGCGTCAGACAAATCCACCCCCCCCATATATTTATTGTAGTCCAGGACCACATCAGGAACTGGCACGTTCTCCTGCTTCCATCCACCAGCTTGCTTCACACGCCGCACAATTGTACGTCCACTGAAGGCCTTGTGAATGGAAGAACACAAGTTGACTTCTCTTGAGTCCTTCCACTTCACATACAGGAGAGGACCCTGCCTAAGCCACCTTATGTCCCCTCGTGGTGCGTCCTTTGGTAGTGCATTTGGTCTGCCTTCAAGGAAACCTATCCTGTTTACCCTGATTGTACCACAGGCCCCGATGTTGAGAGAGTGGAGATGGGTGAAGAGAGCTGTGCTGGTGTAGTAGTTGTCCACATACAGTCTATATCCAGTTCCAAGGAAGGACACTGGAAGTAGATTGACTACAGCATTGAAGCTCAGACCGTTACTATTAGGTGTAAAAGTTCTCCCCTGGTACACAGAGAAGTTGAATGTGTACCCCGACAGACTGTCTGCCAAGACAAACAGCTTGAAGCCCCATTTTGTCGGTTTGTCTTTCATGTGCTGCTTCATACTGTGTCTGTTTTTTGAAGCAACCATGCGCTCATCGATGGCAATGTTCTGGTGGGGATGGTAGTACGACTTGCATAACGTGATGATATCATCATGCAGGGGCTTCAGTCTGAACAGGGGATCGTAACTGGGAGTCCCTTTCAATTTGTCATTGGTAACATCAGCTTCTGGATCGCTCATGTGTAGGAACGAAGAGATGGATGTGAATCTGTTGGCTGCCATCACAGAAGCTGGGAAGGGGTGACGGTGCAGATCATCAGTCCTCCACATATCTTTAATTGCTGAGAACCTAACCAAACCCATATAAATGGTGAGGCTAAGATACCCCATCATTTCCTCCGGGTCAACGCCTTGCCATGTCCGCTTTGATCCTTGGCTGTGCTTATACTTTGCATACTTGTTTGTATTCTGGCACAGGGTATCCAGTACAGCCTTATTGAAGAATAGCTGGAAGACCTCGAGGGGACTATATTCATGATGGAGGTCCAGCTGAACTCCAGGAGTCCTCTTAGGGCAGAACATGAACTGCTGAGGTTCTCGGTCATCAATGTGCAATGAGTGCCATTCACCCTTGGTTCCTATTTTAGAACAGCTGGGATGGTTGACTTTTCTTCTTTTGGCTCGAGTAGCCTGGACCTGAGGTACAGATGAAGAAGCCCATGAAGGTTCTTGATCGTTGGGGCTAAAAATAGTATCAAAGAAAGGATGATATTTATAGGGTAAGCAACATTTTACACTGACATAAGTCACCACTAACAAAACAGAAATGTGAAGGGTAAGATGGAACCAGGCGCAGACACGATTATCTAATCTTATTAAAAAGTTCTACAAATATTCTTAGTAATACGCGCAAAGTCAGTGGGTTATAAAACCCATTTCTGTATCTGAACTGGACAAGAATGTGCAGTTGAAGACATATGCAAAAGTATGCAATCTGTTTCCTCCTCAGATGTAATCCATGATGTTCTGATTCATGATGAACAAAATTTAAGTTTCTTCCACTTCACAATTCATCTGAACTAAGAAAGCATACACTTCACGGTTCTTTCATATGCACAAAGTAGGGCTGGTTGATATGGCTATCGATCAATTTTTTTTCCCCATCTATGTCGATTATTATAATCAATTATGAATTATTTTCATTAATAATTTATTTTTAGGGTCCATTGGTGGTTAAAATTCCCTTAGGATTCCTTTTAAACAGGAATGAAAAAGATGTCAAATGAATGGACTACAAACCTAATAATGTGTGTGTGTATGTATGTGTGTGCATATATATATATATATATATATATATATATATATATATATATATATATATATATTATTTCTGCATTTGAGCAACGTACGACATCTACGGCATTAACTGGTAAAATGAACGATACGCACAAATTGTGACGTAATACGCAATGTACCCACTGGATTGGGGGCCCAATATGATATTCTTCTGTGGGGCCCAAAATCTCTAGCAGCACCCTGCTTTGGGGGAAACTAATTGAGTAACCCTGCTCTACTTCATACACCATTCTGCCTAAAAAGCTCTATAAAGCAAAATACACGTGTAATTAAATAGAGTATAACAGCGTAGTATAATATAGCTGTTACTAACACAAACGTTAATTATAAAATTGTGGAAAACGGAACTATTAAAAAAATACAATAAAACGTAAGAACTATAAAATAAACTTACACGTCAATTGTTGGATCCTCTCCCTGAAGAAAAGCGTCCTCCCCCACTGAATCAACAGATTCAGAAATTAATGCCTCACTTTCTTCTTCCGAATCACTTTCCAAAAATATCTTCCGTGGTTCCTCGAGACTGGACATGTTTTCGGCCATTTTTCACTCACAAAAAACAAAGATCGTCATTCAAATCTGACGAAAAAAAGACCAAAAACTTACCTAAACTCAACACACCACAAACTCCAAACATTCCTTAAACTTCTGCGCCCGCTGAAAGTCCCAATATCCAATCAGCACATCTTCTACCGTTTCGAATAGCACCGACGCTATTTTATTGGACGAAATAGCTGTCACTCAATCCTAGTGTTTCCACGTAAAGTTAACTACGGTGAAACATGACCATGGGCGAAAGTTCCGTGAGTCGAGAATGCTATGCTAGCAGGGAAGCTGAACATAATATGCTCAGCAAATATTTTAATAATACTCACCGAAAGAAACACAGCGATTTATTTAAAAGATCACGCTTTCAAACGAGGGTAAGTTTTCAATAGTGCAGCTCACAATGTATCGCTGAATCGTCTCTCCTGCCGTAATGCCGCATCGGGGCATCTTTAAATTTGCCGCACCGTTGTCTATGTGGGCTACACGCGACTAGAAGAGGTGGGGCTCTGAATCAGTCCGAAAGAGCAATGGAACCACTGTTGCACAACCCACCTATAGGAGAGAAAGTGGAATGGAGGGAGGGACAAGAAGAAGGGTGGAGAAAAAAAAAGAAAAACACAAACGCGCAGTACACATAGCGCATAACAATATTGCAACCAGCCTTCTAGTATATTTCAGAATACGTTGAACTCTTTCCATCCAAAGCAGGCTCTGAATGCGAAAATGGTGTTGAGCATGAGAAGGACAATGCACCCCAGAAAAAGACTAAGAAGAAGCCTTTGAAGGAGAGCGCCTCATCCAGTGCCAAGGACCAGAAATCAAACTGCAAGGGTGAGATTGTGTCTGACCTCAGAGGCTGAGGAGTCTGGTTTGTTGCCTTCAGTGAGACGAACTGTTTCATAGAAAAAGCAAAACGTAGTACATTGTAAAATAAATGCAATGGTTAATCCTGAAAGATTCTGTTGTATTCATTTGTCACATAACAAATACTTAAAACTAGGAAAACTCCTGCCATGTGTTGGGTATAACTTATGTAATTGCAGAAATGCAAACAAACATAGTGCTCACAGAAAGTCTTAGGACATTTGCCTAATTCAGTACAAATATTGGAAATTTATTGGTTTTAACCCTGGGGAACCCAGCCCACCTTATCATTATAGGAAAAATGTGTCCATTGGCTAAAATGATCATTCAGACCCAGTGAACTCAAAAACAGGTGTTTTGTAAAAATAAAACAAAAATCATTACTTTATGTATTTGTTTACTAAAAACACATCACAGTAGAAATAATCAGTATTTTTAAGTACGACATTAATTTCAACTAGTAATATATTGAAACCCAAATTTATAGTTTAAAAGTTCATTGACAGGAAGAGTCATCTTTTTAAAGAGTAACACCTTTTCGATAACATAAAACACTAAACATTTTCGTTTAGTGTCCCTTTGGGAGCCAGTCATTACAATTGCAATTAATAGCAAAATAGCAAGAACAGAACCGAATGAGTCAGTCAAAAGATTATGACACTTAAAAACAAAATATGTGTGGTAGATATGTGTAGATATGTTAAACGTTGCTTGTCAATTGACTTTTGTTATGAAACCAACAGATTTGCAACATTTTCACAGAATTAAACAAGCATATTCTATATATAATACACACTTTTACTGTGCTCTTATTATCTCCAGTCTGTTTTTCTCATTGTTCAGAAGACAAAGGAAAGCCACTGAAATCCAAGAAGAAAGATCCAGCGTCCATGTTTCTGATAGATGAGGAGAAGCTAAATTTCAGCACAAGACCAAAAGGTGATTCCTGATGATTTGTATATTAACAATATTCCAACCTATAAAGATGAGGTCGAGAGATGAAGCTGCTGGTAAGGTGAAGGTCAGCGTTCACTCGTTCAGTGGGTGGAACCGTACATCACAGCTACATTAATGACAGCGCCCCCTTGAGATGGCTTAATCACTCTGATATGAACTCAGCTGCAGCCTGAGATGAAGACGGAGAACAAAGGTCTGTCTGTCGTTGGCAGGCAAATCGGTGAGCGATGACAGCGAACCTGAAACCAAACCCAGTAAAACCAAGAAGAGAGATAACACCGTTCCTGGCTCCATGTTCCGGGCCGGAGGAGACAACGAGAAGGATAAGGAGAGGGACAGAAAGGGCAAGAAGGAAGGTCAGGTCACCCCCATGTCATTATTTAGCCTTTGGAAGCCACCAAAGAGTGTAAAGCGATTACTGGTGCCCTTGACAGATGTACTTATGACTTGTAACTGATTATATTCTTCCAGGACATAAAAAGGCTAAGGAGAGTGAAGACAAAGACTCAGAGGTGACCTTGAAGAAGAAGAAAGGCAAGGGGAAGAAGAGCAAAAAGGTACGTCAAAGACGAAGGGGCAACGGGGAGCTGATGACCCCCACGGCTGTGATGACCCCCTACAGCGTGACCCGCACAACAACATAGCCAAATACTGAGAATGTGTTAGTTGCCCACCGACCAGGTCATATGTCAGTTCATCTTGAAAACCAACAAATGGTTATGCTTGTAGTGATGAACGTCTTCTGTGGACAGAAGATAAATATCTAAGACAGTGTTTCTGAACCTGGTCCTGGGGGAACCCAGACAGTCCATATTTTTGTTCCCTCCCAACTCCCAACACACTGGCCTAAGACACCACCAACAATGTAGCTTTTGTCAAGATGTTTAAAAAGAAATCCGTACTTGATTCTGACCATGTGTAATACATGATCCTACCAAGGGTATGCATAGCGAGTTTTGAGCAAACATCATGCCATTGTTGGCCTTCACTGCGATACTGTGGTGAGACCACTGGTCTTGTATCTGGTTCCTCCTTTATCTGCATTAGTAAGAGGAATGTTATGGACCATTTTGTGTAATGCAATGCTGCCTTCTAATTAATCTCCTAAGTCTTCTGTCTAATTGAATAACTGCTGTCTGCTGGCAATCTTCTCATGTTACTTTCTGCAGACCAAAGTATTACAGTATTTCACATGTGCACATTTCCTGGTGAAGTTGTTCAGAAATCTGGGTTTCATGTGGTGAATGGGCTAGATTTACAGTACAGCATTCCATGGCCTGTTCCATCCAGGAGGAAAGACCACCGTCACCTGTTATCGAGTTTGATGACCTGGAGGAGTTTGTGTTGCAGCCAGCTCCACAGGGCATCACGATCAAATGCAAGGTGATGCGGGACAAGAGAGGCATGGACCGCGGATTCTACCCCACTTATTACCTGCACCTGGACAGTGAAAAGAAGGTGAGTGGACCAGAACGTTTCATGTGGCTGAAGGTGAAGAGATCAACTCTTTTCATCTGATTGAGGGTGAAATCTCCAGACCGCTTCATCTGGCTGAAGAAGTGGAAGTTTGAGACTAGGAGCCAGAACTCTCTGTTAATTCTAATCATCATCTTTTAAATAGTATTCATCTTCAAACCGCTTATCCTAGCGCCAGGCCATCTGTAGCCATCATTTAATCAATGAATATATTCTGTTTCTTTGGCATATTTTAGATAATCTTGTGCAAAACTGATTGATTTTGATCCTGAAGTGCATTTTATATTTTACATTGTTAAAGGTCAGAGCTCAGTACATGGACACCAGAGTAGAGACCAGTTTAAAATAGTCTTCAGTATAGACGCTCCTCTGCTTACGAACTTTCAACTTACGAACTTTCAGACATACGAACAAAGAGGACTCTAAGTCCAAATTGTGTTTCCTGTCCGCAACATCAGTTTATTTTTCTGCGCGCCAGTTCCGCCTAGTACGACTTCTGGCCGCTACTCCCGCCGCGCAGCAGCGTAGCGTGCGTACTCCCAGCATCCTAGGAGCGTGCGTACTCCCAGCATCCTAGTTCTTTGTACTTGCGTATACCCTTAAAATGATGTTCAATGACGACTTGCGAACATTTCAAGTTACGAACGGCCGTTGGAACGTATCTCGTTTCTAAGCAGAGGAGCATCTGTTCTCCCTGTTTTCCCCATCAAGTAGCATAACTGTAGAGTATCCAGACGAGCACAGTGCGTTCGGACAGATGTCGGTGTGCATGGAGTAAAATGCTGTGATTCCCACCAGACATGGGCTTAGCTCCATGTTTGGTCAGGTGATGCAAGGGCTGCTTTCTGACTCCACACCCCTCCAACAGGTCTTCCTGCTGGCTGGCCGGAAACGCAAGAAGAGCGCGACCTCAAACTACCTGATCTCCACCGATGCCACTGACCTGTCACGGGGTGGAGAGAATTATGCCGGGAAGTTAAGGTAAACATGTCCGAAAAATCTGCTTAAATTGCATGTGAAAGATGAAGGTGGTTGGCAAGGTTTTTTGCCAATGTGCCTCTTTGCATCACACATTCATGGGACTTGATTCTGACACAAAATACCAGGAGGAAATGAAAAAGACCATCCAACTCACCCTCTTCTGATTCCGCAGGTCGAATCTGATGGGGACCAAGTTCACCGTGTTCGATGATGGCTTGAACCCTGACAGGGCGCTTCCGGATCTGTCCAATGCCCGGCAGGAACTGGCGGCCGTGATCTATGTGAGACCCAGCCGTGGCTCTTACCCACACGTTTAAGGGAGCACCTGTGATTTTCTAGCCTTGTGGAAACTAAATGTTAGCATACTAAAATCAATTCCAGTTAAAATATATTCTACTTGGATGGATGGATGGATTGATTGATTGATGGATCCTTTTGAAGTCATCCAAAATGTTTTGTTTGCTTGTTTTTGTCTCAGAAAACAAATGTGCTAGGATTTATGGGCCCCAGGGAGATGACAGTCATCATCCCAGGGATGGATGAGTGCAATGAGAGAGTGCCGATACGACCTCCAAACGTACGTAAGTCGTCCCATGTTTATTACTGATAGATATTTCTGGATTTTATTTTTGTATTGTTCATTGAGAATGTTCAGCACAGCTGTAATAATGTGGTTAATTATGGACTGCGCATCATTGTTTTGTGGTACACTGCCCTCGTCTGATCAACATGAGTAACTGCACGCAGAAAAAAAACTTCACATTAATCTCAGATCTGCTAGCACTGATATAGAACCAGCTGCTAGCTTTCCATTCCAAGGTTTTATCGTGAGCCCTGTCTGTGTTGCCCCGGGTTGCTTCTACCCATCTGCTGCTCCTCTGTCTCCTTCTCTCTTGTCTCTCTCCCCTGTCTCTGCCCCCCCGTCTGCATTTCTCCCGTCTGCATTTCTCCCGTCTGCATTTCTCCTGTCCATATCCCCTGACTATGTTTACTGTCTCTGTCTTCTCTGTGTCCTACTCCCTCGTCTGCATCTCTCCTGATACTATCTCCTGTCTGCGTCTCCCCTGTCTCCATTTCCTCTGTCTGCGTCTCCCCGTCTCCGTCTCCCCTGTCTGCGTCTCCCCTGTCTGCGTCTCCCCTGTCTCCTTCTCCCCTGTCTCCATTTCCCCGTCTGCGTCTCCCCGTCTCCGTCTCCCCTGTCTGCGTCTCCCCTGTCTGCGTCTCCCATGTTTGTGTCTCCTCTATTCGCATCTCCCCTGTCCTCAATCAGGACGCTGATGGGCTCGTGATGAGGTACCAGAACCGGCAGATGGACGGCCTAATCGAGCTGCACAACAAGACCCCAGTGTGGAACGACGACTCAGCCTCCTACGTGCTCAACTTCTCAGGCCGCGTCACGCAGGCGTCTGTGAAAAACTTCCAGATCGTCCACAGCAAAGACAGTGAGAGAGAGAGAGAGAGAGAGAGAGAGAGAGAGAGAATCTTCTTTATGCTAAATGCTAAACACTCAGGCAAGCAGAAAAACAAGACGGACGCAGGACACCGTGTGGCCCTTGGAGATGACAGTGATGCGAAGGGCCACTGAGCTTGATCATTTCATTCATTGGTTTAGCTTGTGTTTATCTGTAAGCATTTGAGAGAGGTTAAGGTTCAGGTATTTGACTTGTTCACACACACACACACACACACACAGGTTTGTAATTATATCTTTGTGGGGACTCTCCATTCATTTCTATGGGGAAAACTCTAATCCCAACATGATGACCTTAACCCCTACCCAGCCCTAACCTTAACCATAAGTAACCAAACAAAATATAAAAGTCCTTGCATTTTCAATTTATTGATTGCAGTTTCAGACTTTTAGAAAATAGCCATTGCCCATAATGGAAAACTCTAACTGGTCCCCCAGAGGTATTCATCACGTTGTGGGGACATTTGGTCCCCACAAAGTAAGGTATATCTGGAACATGCACACACTCTCACACAGGGAATTTCTCTCTGGTTGTCAGTGGCTCTCATACATACAGCAGATACACACACAGTTAGGAAAAGATGACGGCCACAAACAGTCCAGTTGATATATACAGAGTGCACACAAGTGTGGATGATTAATGTACAATAAGTGCAAGAGTGCATGTCGGTGGAATGTTGCAATGAATGCAGTGTGTACAGGACAATACAGTAAGTACAGTGAGTTATTTACAGCAGTGAGGTATTTTAACCTGGCATCTGTTCCTGATGCTGGAAGCTTGTCTGCCTTGTTTACTATGCATTTGTCTTCTGTCAGTTTTAGTTGTAATTGTTTGAGTTTCCTATCCCGTGAATGACATTCCTGCCCTGCCTCCCTACACCCCCCCCCCCATCATCAGACAGCTACATCATAATGCAGTTTGGGCGCGTGGCGGATGACACCTTCACACTGGATTACAGCTACCCCCTGTGTGCAGTGCAGGCCTTCGCCATCGCACTGTCCAGCTTCCATGGGAAACTCGCCTGTGATTGAGAGCGGCCAGTGATGCAGGAAGTGATGTCATCAGCTGTGGCAACGAGGCTGGGGAAGACCCCACGTGTCATTTTTCTTTTGGTCGTGTGGGTTATGGTACTTCAGGTCCCAGCTGGCTTCCTGGATCAGGAAATGGACCTGATTCTCATTTGTTTTATTATTTGCAATAATATATTAAGTCTTAAATCTAAAGTGAAGTGCTCTGTGGAAAATGGAATAAAATTGTATATGCCAATTACTTTGTCAGTTTCAACTTATATCAGGGAATTTTGTGATTATTTTATAAAAAATAATTTTGGCCACACCTATATGAGCATAATAGTACTAACTGTAGCAATAGCAGTGTGGTTGGATAACCCCGTCCATCATTTCCTTAATATCGCTACATTCTTCGTAAAGAACGGCTTTTGTTGCAAAATTCATTTTATTGTGACTCTTACAAAATAATTTTGAGTCCGGCTATTTCGCAAAATTCTAAGTCTGTGTCTGGAGAAAGAATTTGGTCTCTGCCACAGAATTTGGAGAGCGCTACTTGGTTTTCAGCACGAAACACAGGCAGTAATAAATTGAGCTGTAAACGGAGAATAGAAAATGTTTCCCTTTTTCGCTGGCTCGCGAAAGTTGTGGTTTCCCTGCGATGCGCCTTGGACCGCTCGTGGCGGCCATGGTGGGGTCGTGATTCATATTTATGATGCAGGGTGAGTCAGAAGATATCTTTGGGGATAGCTCCGCTCTGCGTACGCTCCTCGTGTCCAACAAATCCCTTTCTGTCCTTGCGAATCTAACTGTCGTGATTTGTGTCTGTCTATGAAAATTTGGTGGTGCAAATACGAGAATTTTAAATGTAGGCTATATATTGGGGGAGGTTCGTTGCGGACTTTATGGTCTACTCGCCCACCTACCCAATGTACATGATATCTCTAAATTACCCATTTGCAGGACTGTCTGTCCTGCGATGGGCTGGTATCTTGTCTAGGGTGTCTCCTACCTCATGCCCGAAGCAGATTAAGCCAGGGTTAGGGCAAACATGAAGGCCCCATCTTCAGAGAAATTAAACAGCTAGTTACATAGTGCAGATGTCAGCTAAGTACGCCCAGAAAACCTGCCCAAGGTCTTACCAAAATCTATGGCTGGAAAAGCAGTTCTTAAATAACTTGTAAAGATTCCAATATAAGGCATTGCATATATGTACTTTGACCAGCAGAGGGAGCGCTTCTGGGACCTTAGCTGGCCTTTCCTTTTTTTGGGGGGGGGGGGGAGGCTGCTCCCCTCTTTCCAGAATGATCGTTAAGGGTTCGGCTCATCTCCAAAGGATTACATCATTGGGCTCGACTTCTGGTTACTGGAGGAGAAGGACTTGGATCGATGCTTAACTGTGGAATGTATACAAATTCCAGGAGAAGTTCTGCAGTTTGGAATTGACCTACGGTTTAGGAAACTATTCTTTTCCCTGTGTGATACATGATGACGGATTAAATAAAGTGTTTTTTTTCCATCTAAATAAAATTACTGATTTTAGAGTCAATAAGTATTTTGAAAATATTTTAATGAACTATGTCAGGGAGTTCGAAATTTTGTAAATCAGGATATATTTAGTTCAGGAAGTTTATGACATGTATTTGTAAACGATTTTTTTTTAGACTACATTTATTTCCCTGAGTCAAAAGCAATAAAATCAGTTTTTATCCATCCATTTTCCAAGCAATGGGCTGGCGCCCCACCCTGGGTTGCTCACTGCCTTGGGCCTGTATAGTGTCCAGGATAGGATCTGGACCCCGCATGACCCTAAACAAGTAGTACGCTCGTCATGTTTAACAAATCCTTTTCTGTCCTTGTAAATCTAACTGACATGATTTGTGTGTATCTATGAAAATGCAGTTGTCTCGAGGTCTTATTCACAAGTGAGGGCAGAAGGGAGTTGGGAGATCGACAGATGGATCGGTGCAGTGCTGGCAGTAATGCGGACACTGAACCGTCCTATTTTGTTGAAGAAGGAGCTGAGTCAGAAGGCAAAGTTCTCAATTTACCAGTCGATCTACGTTCCCACCCTCACCTATGGTCATGAGCTGTGGATAGTGACCGAAAGAACGAGGTCGCGAATACAAGTGGCCGAAATGGGTTTCCTCCTCAGGGTGACTGGGCTCAGCCTTAGAGACGGGGTGAGGAGCTCAGGCATTCGGTAGGAGCTCAAAGGAGAGCTGCTGCCCCTCCGCATCAAAAGGAGCCAGCTGAAGTGGTTCGGGCATCTGCTTAGGATGCCTCCTGGACGCCTCCCTGGGGAGGTGCTTCAGGCATGTCCCACTGGGGGAAGACCCAGGACACGCTGGAGAGATTATATCTCTCGGCTGGCCTGGGAACTCCTTGATATCCCCTCAGAGGAGCTGGAGGAGGTGGCTGGGGAGAGGGAGGTCTGGGCGTCCCTGCTTAGACTGCTGCCCCCACAACCCGACGCCGGATAAGCAGCGGAAAATGGATGGAAGGATGGATGGATGGATGGCATTTTCCAACCACTTCATCCATTTCAGGATTGTAGGAGCTTATACCGTACACTAGAGGCAATATCATAACAATAAATAAAATAAAATAAAAAACTAACAGCATGAGATAATGGTGATATCCACCAATTTTTTAGAAATTCCTGACATAACATGATCAGAAAGAGGGAATTAAAAAAAGTCATTAAGCTTTCTAAACATATTCAACATGCTATTTATTTAAATAGGGCTAACTTGATTTCATTTAGGCTTACAAATATCTGTTTCCATTTTGGGAGGCAAGCAGTGAATTGTGTGAGTATTTATTTAATTTCTTGATGACCAAGGACAGACACTCTGATAGAAGTACAAAAATTAGAATTCAAGTAATTTTGGGAAGTTAGGCCTGATATTAAATTGATATTTTTCCAAAGAGACATAGTGTAGTCTTTTGTTTGTATAATCTCCAATATTATACAATTCGCATTTCAAGATGAGTTATTTTGTTGTGATTATATTTAGTCAGATGTGGCTGAATATGCATGAAAGCTTTAATTAAAGTATAGGAACCACCATCAGATCCGATCTCACCCAGGAATCCAGACTACACCTGACATCTCGCTGACTTTGGGTAGGACAGAACAGGATAGGATTTTATTGTAGCCCTAACTTTCAAATGGGAGTCGATCACGGATTAAGTCAAGGGTATTTAGATACGTCGTAGGCCTACTTACAGGACACAACTATTTAAAATTTCATACTGCATAGTTCCGCAGAGAATATTATATTGCATTTGTAACTCTTTCGATTCTCTTATTCTTATTAAGTTTTAGACCTGTTATTTTAAAATTTAATACGATCCAAGGGGAATACACGTCCGTGCAACTCGTTTTGGGCAGTGGTGTTTGGCGTACCCTATTGTAATTAAGGAAGATTATATAAGACCATCGAACACAAGCGCGTTTACAGGACTCAAATTTTCAAACGCAAGAGGGCGGGGTTTTCCAGGGAAGTCTCTGCCCCCAACTTTGTTGATTGACACAGGACTATGGCTCCTCCTTGAAACTTTTTTTCTTCGTTTTTCAGCGTTGTGCGTTGATTTCATACCAAAGTCATACTTTACATTCCACCTTTACTGTCAAACCCTGAGAAATATTTATTGAAAACATAAAAGCGCCCGAAAAATAAACTGTTTAAATGAGGAAACTTTTTACAAGCGCTTGAGCAGGGAGAAGTGCGGATCAGCCAAAGGTGAGTGTTTATTACTAAATACGTCTTCTTTGTCTGAGTGGTTTTGTAAAGTTTCGTGCAGCAGATCCTCGCTGGGAGTCTTTGAATCTTTGTCATTTTTTGCATTTTTTCCATGGGATTCCTTGGATCGGGCAGGGTAGAAAACAAAAATGACTGATTTTGAGCGCCTTTCTGTGTGATCATGTGGAGCGTTTGCTTAGCATTTAAGGCAGAGAAATCACTGTTGATGTGTTCATTGGTTTTTTTTTTTTTTTGCATTTTCGCTTTTGTCCGTACTTCGGGGAAGCTGAGGATGGTGTGTGTTTTTGTTCTTTGCAGTTTGTCGGCACTTCGCTCCCAACTTCCCTGGGTTTTTGTGGAGGGGGTGAGAGCAGATCCTTCTTTTTTTTACCAGGGACTTGAAAGAGAAAACAAAAAAAAAATCAGTCAACTGGAGGATTGCTTAAGTAAACGCAATTGCTTAAGCACTTTTTAAATAATTTTATAGGTAAGTACAGCCTATGGGGGATAATGCTGTTTAATATGTTTGGGCGCAGTGATTCCTAAGCATCGGTCAACACGGACAATAACTCCTATTTTCCCCGATAAAACCAGACTTAAACCCCGCAGCGTCCAGTCACGGACAACACAAAATCTACATGATTTAATGAGGCCGAAATTGGTGTTAAACACTGCTGTCCTGCGCAAGAAGCACTTATTATGCAAATATACTGTCTCACTATATTAAATAAGTGGTGATAAAATTTCTTTATTTGTTTTATTCTTTTAGTGTTTCTATGAGCGGTAAAAAGTGACATCTAAGACACTGCCGTGGAAGCGCGCCTTAATGAGCTGCGAGTTATTAAAATAAATCTTAATTTGTTTTAAAATACATCATCGTTGTCGATTGTTACAGAGAATGGGATGTATTCGGGATCGCAATGTTAAGAAAAAATAGTCTTTGTCGGTGTCCGCATCATTTTCTTCGATGGTTTTGTCAATGGACATGAAAAGTTGGGAGTGAAAAGTTCAGGCCAGCCTGGTGAAGGCAGCACCGGCCAATTAGCTTATTGCGGCACAAATAGCAGAGATATAATTATCGCAGATGATTTGGTCATGTTGACGGAGGAGAGATCCGCTTCCCTGCCATGTGGAAGTGGCCGGCTCGGGTTACCCTCTGCAAGGGAGCGAGATGAACAAAGGAGCCCTGCGCTGCCTGGATAGTCACTGTACCCCTGGCGTTTAGGGTTATTTAAGTCGCCACTACAAAAGCCTCCCGTTTAACTTTATACCGATCCGGGCTCTGATTGCTGGAGCACATCAGAAATATGCGCCGCATTTATGAAAGCCTTCTTGGAGGGGCTGGATGGATGATAAAACCGCAGAGTAAAACCATCCTCCTCCTAAGAGAGAAACCTCGGTCCCCCCCCCCCGATGCTGCTGTTCTTAAATCTTCCTTGGCGCGTTTGCATTTGTTGCTCAGCTTCCTTCGTTATGCGCGCCTGTGTATGTGTGCATATATCACGGCAGAGTGGTTTTACATAAAGCGCATTGTAAATGCAATCATTGCGAATAATAATAATAAGCCAGTTACTGAAAGGTCCATTATTGTGTCGTATAACAATGAGCATGTGTTTCAGATATAAAAAAGCGGTATGAGGTTCATAGGTCTGAGGTTTTGTTGCGGCCCTTCGTCTGTGAAGCCCAGCGGGTCTTTCTGGAGATCGGGCCGGTGACGGGACCCGTCCCCCGCCGCAAGCACTTTGTCGGGCCGCTTGAGACTTATTAGTTAAAAAGATTTAAAACTTAAGCACTGAGTCTATCCAGAGCACGTTGACCAGGTATAGAAATCAGACTGAAGATCTCAACGGTTTCCTTGAATGAAGGGAAAGTGAAAAGTATGACTTCCTTTCTGGTATGAAGGCCTGGAATTAAAATGCAGATAAGATTTGCTTTATTTATCCTGGTGGGGGGGGGGGTTCTTGTGCATACAGGAGGGTTATTATTATTGTGCATACAGGTGGGCTAGAGATTATTGTCTGTTTATTTAAATGTATGAAATCAAAGCCATTGAACTTTAGACGCCTTTCAATGGACAAGCATGCCTTTTGAAAAGCAACCTGACAGATGAGAGGACTGGCTTTTCCAGTATTTCTGACAGTCTCGTAAATTTCTTTGAACGTGACTTTCATAAGTGTGAGAAATTCAGACCTCTCCTTTGAGACATCTCCACTATCGTCTGGGCCACCCCTGAGTTGTTTGTTGAAATAAGAGAGACATATTCTGTCCCAGGTTTCCCTTAATAAACAAAACAAGCCATCCCCCCTCCCCCAGCCCTGTAAGCCCCTCCTCCTTTCAAAAGGTCACAAGTCTGATTGATCTCTTTGTTCTTTGATCAGCCATCCTGCCCACAGGCTTGCCTGTCCATCTCTGCCAACTCCCCCTGAACCAGTAGAAGGCTGCACTTAGCCATTTAAGGGTGCCCCCCCCCCCATCCGGTCAGATAGGGTCTGCCTGGTGTCCGTTCGTCAACATGCGTGACCTTCAAAGCCTTTTTATGCTCTACACTGTGAGCTCCCTTGGCCATAAAGCTGTTCTTGATGCAGTCTGTGAGACATTCTCAAAACTGGATGCTGTACCTTCCTGTCTAATCTATCCGTACCCTTAAACCACAAGCACAATGCAGTCCTATGAAAACGTACGAGAACCTTAAATTGCACGCAAAACCTAACATGAGGAGAACCTCCATTTTGCAGTTTAGTCTTCACTCATGCATTGAGCTTTAGTGTCTTACTTTCCCAGACGACCCTAGTTGAAAACAAGCGATGTTGATTGGGAACTGGTGTTTTTTTAGACTGGTCGTGAAGTTTCAAATGGTGCTGCGAGCATGCCCACTGCCTTGCCTGACATCATGGCTGTATATAGGCCCGCAGTTATTTCTGTCCTGCTTCTATGGCAGGCTGGGGGCCCTTTGACAAATTCTCCTCTTAATTAAAACCAAGCCCATGCATTGGGGCGTCATGTTTGCTTCCTCTCAGTTTTGCTGCTTTGCTTTTCAGCCATAGTTTTCGATTCAAAATCCTTTAACCTAACAGTCTTTAGAAAGTCATTCTCAGAATGTCACCAGTATCACTGGTATTCCAGTATTCTGGGGAGGGGAGGTGTTCTCTAGCTATACTACAACTTTGTGATGCTACTGCTACGGAGAGTGTAACCCTCTACATATAGTACTTGCTACCTTGTGCTCCACTTGTGTTTTTGTCTGACTGGCTTTATGACTCACCTGTGCTGAACCTCAGACTTTCTTTCCACAAAGATGATTTCACTTTGTCAGCAGGAGGATCGTGTTCACATACTCTGTAGACCACTTCTTGGTATTCTTCCAGGTACTCTGTTGAATACTTTGTGGTACTCTTATGTGTATTTTGTAGACCACCTTGTGGTACTCTTTCACATACTTTGTAGACCACCTTTTGGTACTCTCACATACTTTGTAGACCACCTCGTGGTACTCTTTCACACACTCTGTAGACCACTTGTTGGTATTCTTCCACATATTCTGTAGGCCACCTCATGGTACTCTTATGTACTCTGTAAACTACCAGTTTGTACTTTCTTTGCAAAATTCTGGGAACAAATAACAAAAACTCTTATATATTGGTAAATATCCAGTCAGATTCCCCTGTAATAATTTAAGAATCAGTCTTTGTTTTGGGGTTTATTTTTCATATTTTCTTGAATATACACCTTTTCATGATTAGATTGTTTTAAAACATTAACGAGCAGAGTTTGCTAAAAAGTGACATGCCTCTGAAGGGCTCCAGTGTTGGGTGTTTAAGGGCTAGTCTGTCACAAGGGGTTAAATTAAAACCAATGCAGTTTTTGTGACACTGAAAAAAATTACGTAATTTTCTGCATAATCATGTTTATCAAAGTATGGAAAATAAAATAGTTAATTGTGGATGTTTATACAGGGACATTAAATGATAATATTTAATATTAACAATTGCAATACATACATGTACTTAACTGACGTTAGTAATAAATGTAATTCTTCATCTATGTCATTATCCAGATAGACGTATTATGTTGCTGATTAATAAATCACCGGCGTTGTGATTTCGTATACAATAAAGTAATTGCGGAGGTGCAGAAAGTTTTCAAAGGCACTGTACGTGGGTTTTGAAGAGACAGCTGATAAAGTAGTTGTGTTACAGAAGGTTGAAATCTCACAAATAACAGGTGACTACGAAGACCGCTGAGCCCCCCCAGTCCCCCCCCCGCCCCAGATGGCTTGACAGGATTGTTGTTGGTGGATTTCATAAGAGCCGTCAGCACATGGGTGGGGTAAATGAGATTATTTATACACCTTCGATCCTCAGCAGGGGTTCTGCCTGTTTATTAAAGCCAACTGGCCCAGGTTCCCTTTTTAAATGGCTCTGCAGCAAGGCCTCATGGGAATCTTTTCACCTTTCAGTTCAGCCCAGGTCTATTACCTCAAGCTGCAGGCAATTACTCCTACGAGCCCTGGGGTCGCCCCACTCCTACAGTGGGGGAGACGCCTTTGGTAGCCTGTAGTCAAGCTGTTATGAAGATGATCTTCTTGTGAAATGCGAGTGTTGGCAAGCGAGGTGTTCGCAGGCTGTCCTTCCCGAACGTTTCATTAAAATTTCCCTTAATTTTCCGACTGTCCCCGCTGTCGATGTCTGTGATGTGAATGAGTCTGGAAGAAATTAGTCCGGCTCCACAGAGTTGCCTCTCTCTGCGGAGACAGAGACACGCTCCTAAAGTATCGCCAATGTATCCCTCATCGATATATTGATCTGCTGTTTGAACAAGTTGAAAAGACAAGTGGGAAATACCAATGTGGGTTGCCATGTCAATGATGTCCTAGCTGTGTGGGGCAAACATATATTTTGTCCTCACTTCAGGAAAATAACTGGCAACTTTCATTAGCCGGCTAAAAGCTAACTTGAATCCTTCTCATCAGTTTTTATTTGTTGAAAGAAAGTGACCTGTCGAACTACAATTTCACTGTTTTCTTAATGATTTTATTTCCCGTTTTTGTTTTGAAGCAGGAAACGGGGCATTTTGGAGACTTTGGAGGTGCGTTGTGAATTGATGTTTTGGTTCTGCTCTGCTCTGTATCTTGTGCTTTTTTTTTTTCCTCTTAAGAACTTAATCAAAATACAGACTGATTTTATTTTTGTGCCATGGCACAAAAAAAAAACTTTAGGTGCCATTGGCTCCTAAACCCAAAATATTTAGGAGCCAAATGTTTTTTTATGAGCTGTAATCTCCGTCACATGCCAAAGGTAAAAGAAAAAATACTTACATGGCACATTTTGTCTCCGGTCTACCTCACACTGCCATTAATTACTCCTGCCTGAACGGTCTGACCTGCATAGTATAATCTTCTGCATTGTCTTATACATAATAACAAGAATAAATGACACAGAAACATGCCACGCATGGGTGGCCAAAGCAGGAACAGACACAGAATTGCAT